TGAAAATGAGCTCCTGAACTGTATCCATCACATAGGTTTCCCTGGTGGCTCAGCAGTAAATGCGCCTGTCAATGCAGGAGACACAAGTTCGATCCCTGGTTCGGGAAGATCCCCTGGAGAAGGGATGGCAACCTACTCCAGTATTCTTGCCTGGAGAATCCCATGGACAGATAAGCCTGGCGGGTTACAGTTCATGGTGTTGCAAAGAGTGAGACACAACTGAGCGACTGAGCACACGTACACACCTATCACATAAGTGGTCACAAGTCCTAGTCATGCCCACCCAGTTTAAAAACAAATCTGATGCAAACTGGGCCCCAGTGAGATGTTGAGGGGGGAGGTAGGGAAGATGCAGGTGATACAGGATTGTGGGGGAGGGGCATCATGGGCTCTGAAGGCTCACCAACCAATCTCAGCAATGCCTGAAACAGTAGCAGCCTTAAGCAAGTCACCACTGCCTGGTCCTAGGTCACCTCGCTGCCAAGTGAAGACGTGCCTCTCATGCTTGGCGAGGAACTATTTAAACAGCACATACTAAGGAAGAGAAGGCAACACACAGAAGTGCCCAATGAGGGACTTCCCTGGAGGTCCCTTGATTAAGAATTCACCTTCCAATGCAGGGGGTGCAGGTTCAATTTCTGGTCAGAGAACTAGGATCCCACATGCCTCACAGCCAAAAAAACTAGAGCATAAACAACAGAAGCAATATTGTAACAAATTCAATAAAGACTTAAAAAATATCTCCACAACAAAAGAATATTTAAGAAAAATAAAAAGTGCCCAGTGATGTGTATTTCATCCCAGTTTCTCCATCCAAAACCACCTTCAAATGCCAGAGCACTTCCGTTTTCAGAAAACCCACAAGATGCAAATATCTGTGCGGTCAGGAGATGCCGGCATCTCAAGCTTGTATTTTTTCTCTTTAATTTTGATCCTTCATGCACAAAACCACAGATGAAACCCCTTACATCAGAACAGCACCTGAGAGTGTAGGAAGCATGACAGTCTCCCACTAGGCTGCATGTAAAGCCAGCAAAGCTGACCCTTCAAACTCCCAGTAAAACAAAAGAAGCCACAGCCAACCTGTGGCCACCGGCATCCATGAAGCTCTGGCCGAGCACCAACCTCTCAACTCAGTTCAGTGCTGGACCTCTTCTGGGATCAAAACCAGCCCAGCAAGAGCTATCAGGCACCTGCGACGAAGGCTGAGACAGGTGCCCAGGGCTGGTGGCTCACCCAAGGCCCCAGAGATTAGTGACAGAGTTTTCCTCCTTATAAAACCAGTGGCCCCCTCTGGTGGGGCCAGAACATGGGTAGGGAGAATCAGGTGGGGTGGGGAGGCTTCAGGAGGGGCAGGCTGGCACCCAAGGACAGGCGGAGTGGCCGGGAGCCTGGAGACACGAGGTCCGACGTAAGGGGAAAGACCAGTATAGAAACATCCAGGTGAAGAAGGTAGGGAACCTGAGCCAGAGGGGGTCTTGTTCCCAGCACATCCATGACCGACCGAGGTGAGCGCAGGCACAGCCTGAGAGCCGACCATCCAAACAACCGAGAATCCCAAAGGAATTTCTGTAGAGGATCAGAATGCCCACTCCCGGGGCTGGATGGCCTTCCGGCCACATGACATCTGGCTGCCCTGCCCACCACCCACCCCCATCTCTCCATCACTCTCTCCTGCCGCTCCAGTGCAGGCAAGGTTCTGCTGGAGGTCTGGGAGGGTCCCAGCTGTGAATGCAGCTGTTTTTAGGTGTGGGGTCTGGGGAAGGGAGCAGCAGGGCACCAGGCTTGTACTGGAAGGAAGCACGATGCTCCTGGGGTTTCATTCATTCATTCATCCATTTAACAGGTTGGGCTGAGGATCAACCCAGGTGCCAAGCACTATTCTTGTTCCAGGGACACAGAAGTCAACACAGTCTCTATGTTGGAGTGGTAAGAGACAGAATAAACAAAGTATATAAATCATAAATTGTGTTAGGTCCTAAGAAGAAACACAAAGCAGGGTTAACATGAAAGGCAGAAATGATGTTAATTTATGTAGGGAGCTGAAATACAGACAGAGAAATGAGTGAGAGAGCAAGCCAGCTGGACATCTGGAGGAGGCACATGCCAGGGAGATGGAAAGCAAGTGCAAAGGCCCTGAGGCAGGCAGGTGCTCAGCAAACTTGGCAACTGACAGAGAAGAAGGGAAAAGTCCATATTCATCTGGGATGATCAAGGATGGACGTGGGCCAAGGTGGCAGGTGGGGATGGGTTGGGGATGACACAAAGCAAGCCTGGGCAATGAGCCTGCCTTACGGCATGGCTGGGAGCGAGGAAAGGAACATGCAGAAATAAAACTCAGGCTGAGGGTGTGGAGAGGGCTCTGGGGAGCCACTGCAGGCTTGAGTGAGGGACACCAGCCCAGCCCAGCCCAGCCCAGCCCGGGACACCCTGCGGCTAGCACAGAAATCACAAGTCAGGCAGCAACAGCACCCGCTGAAACGGGGCCGGGGGCTTCCCAAGAAGACTCGTGAATCTCAGCCCCACCGAGATAGCCTGGCTGCATGACAACGAGGTCGCTGTCCCTGGCTCCCTTGTGCATCCGAAAGGACTGGGAGAGTGGAGGACTGCCCACAGGAGAGGCAGGGAAGAGGCGCCCACGACAGCTGAGTCAGCCCGTGCCTGCAGGCTGCTCTGAGGCACCAGCTGGAGCCAACCCAGGTGGTGGGGGGGGGCCTTAAAAGGGGCCAGAGAATCCCCCTGTGGGCACACAGCCAACTACCAACCACCAACTGGGCACCTGGGCCCCACTTGGTGAACAATCATCTCAGACATGACCAACGGGATGGAGCCACACAACCATCAGTGTCCACGTCACTCTCCATCCCAGCCAGGTCAGGGCTCAGGGACCCCAGCTCTCTGTAACTCTCTCAAGGCAGAATGCTGCTTTCTGCCACTTGTTCTGGAAGGAAGCCCTCCATGCCAGCTCAGGGCCTCCCTCTGTGGCCACCTGCTCCCAGTCCTCCAAATTTCCCTGACACAAACGTCTCTCCAAAACTCCAGACCCCAGTGTGACCAGAGGCCCTGACCTGCTGAGTCCCTGATCAGGTGCTCAGGGCTTAGGATGTGGAGGAGTGCCCAGGCAGAGCTGAGGCCCTGGGGGGCCGTGCTTGTGCCCTGGGCTCCTGTCCCTCCACAGGCCTCAGGGCCGCCCAAGTCAAACAAAGCCCAGCCCAAGGCAGACCTCCCATCACATGAGCTTTTCCTAGTTCCTCAGTTGTGTCTAGGAAACATTAAGGTGTTTTGGCACTCCTTCTCAGCTCCAGGGGTGCGACTGGTGTCTTTTACAATTATCTTTTATTTTTATCCCACATTTCTTAGCTCAGTTGGCAAATTGAATTATTTATGCACCTCCATTTCACAATCCATCCCCACCAATTATCCCTGTGAAACTAATTTATTTTTTTTTAAGGGTTAGAAGTACCAAGGAAGAGCCAAGTTAACAAACCACAAGTCCAGCCCGGGGCAACCGAGAACACAAGCAAGAGGCCAAAGATTAAGAAACTGACCACACAGGCTTCGCCCACCTGCCAGGGCCCACCCCACCTCTCATGCTCACACACGTAGGCACGCGCGCGCGCACACACACACACACACCCCCCATCTGGTTCAGCCCACACTTCTCCCAGGCGGAGAAACCCAGTACCCTGGAGATGGGAAGGCAGGCAATGGGGGGAGGGGCCCGACCATGCTCCCCAACCAATGAGCAGAGGTCTGGAGAGCCAGGCCCCACAGCAGACTCTCAGGGCGCCTGTCACTAGGGCCACCACCCAGACCCAGTGCAGCTCTGGAGACCCATCCAAGGGTCTCTCTGCCAGGGCCATGGGGCCCACCCAGGAGGCGGCCCACTCAGCAAGCTGACTCCTCAGCAAGCTCCAACTCACTCACTAACACCCTGGACACCATCCTGAGTGCCAGCAGGCTCCACGCCAGGGTCATTTGCTGCTCAGGAGCCACCAACCCCCTTTCCTGAGTGCAGACGGAGGCAGGACGGACAGCCCCCCAGCAGTGAGGGCACAGGGCAGGGCATTCTGGCTGGAGGACCCTCAGTGTCCCCTGAAGAATGGAAGCCCCCCAAGAGAAGGCAAGACCCTCCCCCTCACCTCACCTCACCAGAAGGCCCACTAAATCAGAGGCTTGAGAAAGCAGCCACCCACCAGGCTGTGGGTATCTGCAGAGCAAACTAAACGTGCACCCCAGGAAAAGCTGTGTGGTTCCCATCCTGGAAGACTTCAGGTCATTATTCCCAAAACCACTGTTTTTCTCAGAGAGAAAGAAGGAGGGCAGGTGTGGGGGTGGGGTGGGGGGCGGTATTCTCAGAAAGGGGACAGAGGCTTAAGAGGTCAGGAACAGCTCAGCCCACGGGATGAAGGGCACAAAGGAGATTCCCCACTATGGGGTTGACCGTCCCCACGGCCATTTATGAGTTGGCTTAACCACCAGATTTGAGGTTGGCCCCTATCAGGCCGGATCCAAACATATGTGAAAAAATTGAGTCTTCCTTCTGCAAGTAAATACTAAGTTGAGACAAGCAGGTACAATCTCAGTCTCTATGCTCAGCGAGGCTCGGGCAAGGTGGGCCCCTCGCGACCCTCCCTCAGCACCGGGTCCAGGGCAATTTCGACCCCCAAACCCCAGCCCCGCGGCCTTGGCACACCGAGGCCCGCTGCCCAGCCCGCCCGGGGCACAGCCCGGCTCGGGGATGGGGGCCTCGCCCTTCGCATGGACCCGTAGCAGCCAGGCCGAGGGGAAAGGGGCTGGGACGACGGGGCAGGTTCGCGCCGCACCCCCAGCCCAGCGCCGGCTGCCCAGGGGAACCCGACTGTGTAATTTTTAACTGAGGAGTTTCTCCCTCTGGGCCTCGTTATAAAGGAAAAGGGTGGAGGGCTAGAAAACCGGGGATCGGCTTCCTGGGTGACAGGGAACCCAGAAAAGACCCCAAACTCGGGAGTTGCCGCCCCTCACCGGGACTCAGTAACAGTGCCGAGAGGGGCCGCGGAACACTCCAGCTGCAGGGGCCAGCCCGGCGGGACCCGAGCGGGCAGCCGCCGTGGGTCTGCGTCCCTGGTCTGAGCCTTGTCGCCCCTCGCCGCCGCGCCCCCGCCTGGGATGCGCGAGCCACCAGCTCGGCCCCGCCGCTCCAGCCCGGTTCGTACCCCTGATCCCCGCGCCGCCCCCCGCCCGCAGCGCCGCCTGATCGCGCCCCCCGCGCCCGCCCCGTCGCCCCCAGGCTGAGGCCACTCTGGGGAAGGGTCGGTGGGCCCGGACCCCCGCTTACCTGGCCCGAGCTCCGGGCAGTGCGTGTGCACGGCCGCCGCCGCTGTGTCCCCGAGGCCGAGCGCCAGGCCGCCGCCGCAGCTCTTTGTGAGCCGCGCACCGAGATGCTGCCGAGCCCGGGAAGCTGGATAGCGGCGGGCGCGCCCCGGACGCGGCGTACGGCACGCAGGGCCGCCCCTGCCCGGCCCACGCAGCGGGGCCCGCGGGCTTACCCCGCACTGGCCTGCGGCTGGACGCCCGCGCCCCGCCCAGCCCTGGCCTCGCCAGCGCCCCTCGCCGGGCGAGAGCGCGCGGCGGGAAGATCGGGAGGAGGACAAAGATGCGTGCGCGCCCAGCCCCCTCCCCGAGCCCTCGCCCCGACTCTCGGCGGACTTGCAGGGGGCGCACCTGGGGCCCGGGTCCTGCGGGGCCGGCCTTGGGGCCCTGGGGAGCACAGATTCCCCGGCGCCCCCGGCACCTGAGGGATGAGGAGACGCGGGGGTCTGGTCCTCCGGCGGGTGGAACAGGTGACAGCGAGGTGCCCCTGCGCCCGCACCTGCCCCGGGCGCCACGCTGCCCCCTGGCGGGCTCCCGAGCGCCTGCGACGGAAGGTCCTGCCCACCGCGCCCTGTTCGGCCCTGCGCAGAAGTCGCCGGGAGATCGCGGCCTCTGAGAGACCCCTCTGGAGGGCAGGCCCCCAGCGTCTCCCCACCACAGATTACTGGCTGTGTGCCAGGCCCCTGGGAACCATCCCATCACCCCGTTCCCAATATCCTGTGCTGTCCTGGCCTGACCACTGGCCTCCCCTCCCCCAGGGCCTCGCCCCAGCCCTTTCCCTCCTTGTCGTCCTAAACGGAGAAGGACCCAAATCTATAACACACTAAAAAAAGAAAGAAAGAAAGAAAACTATAACACACTATACTCCAATAAAATTAAAAAGAACTCAAGTGACTCGATTCTGCCCACCCATAGAATCTAGGAAAATCTGCCCAACTGCAGGCCCTTCCCCACATCTACGAAGACTCTTTTTCCTGTAAGGTGGATATTCAGTGTCCAGAGGTTAGGATTGGGCATCTCGCGGGTCATTGTTCTGTCTAACAGACGTCTAGAAACGTCTGTTCCAAGAAGCAGAGTGCATCGTGGCTGAGGATCCCAGTCAGGCCAGCACTCACCCGGGGCCTCTGACCTGGGCTGGTGTCTCTCCTCTGCACACTCAGTTTCCTCCACTGTTAAATAGGGAAATACCATGACTTGCCTTCAGGGATAGGCACAAGACTTGGTGGCACATGCACACCTCTGAACCCATGGTGTAAAATGTGCCAAATGCTGGTCACCATTTCGATCGCAGGTGCTATAAGATGTTGACGTTCTCCAGTGATGGCTTTTGTCTGCTTGGCATTCTCTGGAAATCTCCCACCTAACCCCAGCTCCATCCATGTGGTTCAGGTGAGGCTGAGCTGTCTCAACTGACAAACTGGATCCTTGCTTCTTCAGAAAGTGGTTGTGAGAACTGATTTCATCATTAATCATTTATCTTTAAAAAAAAAAATTCCTGTGCCAGACAAGGAGAAAACTGTAATTCAATGCACCACAATGTTCATTGCAGCACTATTTGCAGTAGCCAGGATAAGAAGACAACCTAAATGTCCAACAACAGAGGAATGGATAAAGAAGATGTGGTACACACACACAATGGAATATTACTCAACCATAAAAAGGAACAAAATAGGGTCATTTGTAGAGATGTGATGGACCTAAAGTCTCTCATACAGAGTGCAGTAAGTCAAAAAGAGGAAAACAAACATCCTATATAAATGCATATATGTGGAATCTAGGAAAATGGTACTGATAGACCTATCTGCAGGACAGCAATAGAAAACCAGCTTACAGAAAACCAGTCTCTGCAGGACAGAGACTGGACGTGTGGACACAGCAGGGGAAGGAGAGAGTGGGACAAGATGAGAGAATAGCTCTGACATAAATACATTACCATGTGTAAATTAGATAGCTAATGGGAAGCTGCTGCATAGCACAGGGAGCTCAGCTGGCTGCTCTGTGCTGACCTAGAGGGGTGGGATGGGAGGATTAGGTGGGAAGGGAGGGATGTCCAAGAGAGAGGGGATATATGTATACATATGGCTGATTCACTTTGCTGTACAACAGAAAATAATGCAACATTGTAAAGCAACTATATTCCAATTTTTTTTAAGTAAAAAGAAAAAATTCCAGTGGCAGACGCTGACCTGGGCCCTGGGCTACAACAATGGCAGACTGGCTGGATCCCCGCTCCTGGTTCATAGGCAATAAAGGCTCTTGCGGGGCAGACAGAGGGGCAACCTGCACTGTCAGGGTCACTGGGGGAGCAGCCTGGGAAGGTGGGATGAGACTGGACTGAATGGGTGAGACACGCTAACACCAGTGCCCTCACCCAGTTCTTGGCCACCGCCACAGATATGATTTAATCGTCAGCTAGTTTGGCTCACTGAGTCCTCCGATCCTGCTGAAACAATTCTGTGTTTAACTCTCTCTGTTTGAAAACAGCCAGTGTGGACTGTTTCCCTGCCTGGACCCTGATTCACACAGCACAGGACCAATCATGGTCCCTGGAAACAGACCCTCTTATATTCTGGAGTAAGTGTGATCATGTCCTGGGCCCTGGACACAGTGCTGAGCTCTTTTTTTCTTTTTTCCCTCATTTTTAAAGATTTTTCTGTTGTGGACATTTTTAAAGTCTTTATTGAATTCATTACAATATTGCTTGTTTTATGTTTTGGTTTTTTGGCCACAAGCATGTGGGATCTTAGCTCCCTGACCAGGAATCAAACCCACATCCCCTGCTCTGGAAGGCAAAGTTCTAACCACTGGACCACCAGGGGAGTCCTATGCTGAATTCTTGGGGATGGGAAACAAGCTGCCAGTAATCCAGGCCACAGGGCTTCCCCAGTGGCTGAGCAAGGGAAGAATTTGCCTGCCAATGCAGGAGACGTGGGTTCAATCCCTGGGTCAGGATGATCCCCTGGAGGTGAGCATGGCAACCTACAGCAGTATTCTTGCCTTGGAAATCCCATGGACAGAGGAGCCTGGCGGACTACAGTCCTTGGGGTTGCAAAGTGTCGGACGTGACTTAATGACTGAACAACAGCAACGATCCAGGCCACGTTGGGCATTACAGCTGGTCAAACTGCCACCTGCAATTGCTTTGGACAACGTCCTTACTAAAGCCAGAACTCGGGGCAGGGCAGGGGATGAGGTGGGGAGGGAGGGGCAGGTGACTTCAGCCTTTAAGGTCAGTAAGGGTGACGTCAAGGACTGTGGGGTGGGTGGCCAGTTCTTACTACACCAGAGACCCGGCAGAAAGAAAAATTACATACTCCAGGTTAAAGCTTGGGGCTTACAGAAAACCAGAGAATTTTTATCACCCCCCCCCCCCGCCCAGAGAATCTTTTATTTGCTGTAGCCATAGAGATAACCTTGCCAAAAGTCAAACATGGGCTTTGTGAACATGGCAGAATTACAATGTCATTTGAATTCAAAGGCTTCACAAGTGTCCTATGTGGACATGCTTTGGAAAGGAGCAGGACCCTGAGGTATGGGATTCACCATCTGAGTAGAGGCCAGTGGCATTAACAACCTGGACCCTTGAGTCTGTCTGGAACGGGTTCTGTTTCTGGCTGATGGGAATGGCCAGCCGATCTGGGTCTCGGAAGAACAGCAGCCTCTCTTGCTTAAAGATCCTGTGCACATTCTCCTCTGCGGACTGGGTCTGCCACTGGGAGAGGTCACTGTTGAGATGCCCCTGGTGTCCTTGGTGGTGGTGGGATTCCGCAGTGGCAAAAACCAAGTGGCGTGTTTCACTGCCAAAGACAAGGGGGTGCCTGTGTTGTGATGAGCATGAAGACGGGTATAGCCAGAATGCTTTGATACACGTGACCTCTGGTGGTGGCTAATGGACCCCAAAGAATAAAATGAGCAGCAGTCGCATTTCCAGACTGAAGTCAGTTTCCAGACCCAGAGGCCCTTGATGAAAGGGGAGGCCAGGTATCCTGAAGATGGGTCCTGCAGCGTTGCTGCAAATACATGCTGTAAATCTTCCTTTGACTCCTCCCCAGAGGGGCCCTGGAAGGTCACATATGCTCTGGAAAAAAGGAAATGCCAAGACCTCTGAAGATGGCTGGACGTTGTCTCTGAAGTGAAGTTCTTTCCTAGGAAATTTTTAGAAAACTCTTAAGCAAAATATCCCTGGGCTCTAGAATCAAACTGGGGGCTCGTGGTCATCAGGAGAGGGAAGTCTGTGCCTGAATCTGACTGAGGTGGGTCTAACAGGCCTGCAGACTCACCCTGTGGCCCTCCTCCCAGTGGCACGGACACCCAGGGCCCCTTGCAGAGTCCCCAGATGGGCTCCCCTGACATGAGGGATGAAAACTGTCATCAGAGGAAAAGCTAAGGAACTGACCCTCCCTCCCAGGATGGTAATCGAGAACGGATGCTTCGTCCAGGGGGAGCTGTGGAGCCCGTGGCCCCCATCACAGCCCGGAGAAAGGTTGGGGGCACAGATGTGCCAGCCCCTTTGACTTGCCTCTTGGGCCTGTGCAGGTGGCGTTTGAATCTTGGGAAGTGACAGCGGATTGTCATAAACTTAATCTGGTGGCAACTCCAGTTGCAGCTGCTCCCCCAGATGTGGCTGAGAAATACTGCAGATGTGCATCCACACGGAGGCAAACAACACCCTGCTGGCATCTGGTGTGCTTCTCATTCACACACTCTCTCTCCCCCGTTTTCCCCAATTCTCACAAGAGCAAAGCCGGTTAACGTTTTCATTTCCAAGTGAGACTGTGACTGAGTTGACATGATCCTGCACTATGCTGGCGGCCAACAAAGGACAGGAGGAGGAGACTGTGGGCAGTGTGGCATGAGCCCCATGTCCCCGTTCGCCTCGACCCATCCTCCAGCCTCTCCCACTGGGCTCTGGGCCCAGGAGGCTGGTGTGTGTGGACCATGTCTGTGGGCTCCCTGGCTTCCGGTTTATTTGCCCAACAGGAGGTACTGGAAGGAGCCTGGAGGGATGAGGAGGGCAGTGCTGGTGGATCTTTCTGGGTCCCTTCCCCACACGATGCTAGGAATGGCCATGTCCTTCCAATGAAGCCCACAGCCTCCGCCTCCCAGCTCCCTCCCCCTGAGAGCTGCAGGTCTCACTGGATTCCAGCAGTCGTCCCTTGACTGGCCTGGAGGTGCTAACAGTCCTCCTACCCATGCTAGGCTGTCGATTTCCCCTCACTCTGCCCTACCTATGTGAATAGTCCTTTTCCCTGAACTCCCCTCCTTTACCTCTTTGGAAAATACCCTCTGGGTATTATATGCTGGGACCCTGACTGATTCAAGGAAAAGGATGACTTTATCCACCTACTCTGTATTGAGCAGTTACCATGTAATCAGTGTCTGGTGTTATGGAGAAACCAGGGAAGCAAAACCAGACATGCTCAGGTAGAAACTAGAAGAGCTTCTGGGAGATGCAGGCATTCGACCATCAGTCACACAAAGAGACTGGACAAAGGCTGCAAAAGCTGCTAGTCAGGGAGGGAGCTGGGCTTCCCTTACATTCCAGCCAAGGTCTCAGGTGGTGGGAACAGCATGTGTGGAGGCTTCAGAACTGGCTGGAGCCCTGTGTCTTTGCGGAACTTAAGAAAGGCTTGTGCAGAGCCTTTATCATAAATAGACATTGGATTTTGTCAAAAGCTTTACCTGCATCTATTGAGGTGATTATATAGTTTTTAATCTTCCGTTTGCTTTGTGATCTATCACACTGATTGATTTGTGGATATTGAAAAATCCTTGCATTCCTGGGATAAACCCCACTTCATCGTGGTGTGTGATCCTTTCCATGTATTGTTCCAGCCAGTTTACTAGTACTTTTTTGAGGATTTTTACATCTGTGTTCATCAGTGATACTGGCCTGGAATTTTCTTTTTTTGTGCTATCTTTGTCTGGTTTATGTATCAGGGTGATGGTGACCTCATAGAATGAGTTTAGAAGTGTTCATTCCTCTGCATTTTTGGGGAATAGTTTCAGAAGGATAGGTGTTATCTCTTCTCTAAATGTTTGATAGAATTCTCCTGTGAAGCCAGTTCGTCCTGGACTTTTCTTTGTTGGGAGTCTTTTCATCACAGTTTCAGAAGATGTGGTACATATATACAGTGGAATATTACTTAGCCATAAAAATGGATGAAATAATACCATTTGCAGGAACATGGATGGACCTGGAGATTGTCACACTAAATGAAGTAAATCAGAAAGAGAAAGACAAATATCATATGATAGCACTTATATATGAAATCTAAAATATGACACAAATGAACTTACAAAATAGAAACAGACTCATAGACATAGAAAACAAACTTATGGTTACCAAAGGGGAAAGGTGAGGGGGAGAAATAGATTGGGAGTTGGGGATTGACATATGTACTACTATACTTAAAATAGATAATCAGGGACTTACCTGGTGTTCCAGTGTTTAAGACTCCAGGTTCCAATGAAGGAAGTGTGGGTCCCCTTGCTGGGGACCAAAGATCCCCCCTAAAATAGAAAATAAATAAAAATTTTAAATAAAGTAAAAAAATAAAATTTTCATGCAGCCAATAAATAGAGGAATTAAAATAATACAGAAATTTAAAAATTTATTCCAAAATGAAATGTTTAAAAATAAAATAGATGATCAATAAGGACCTACAGTATAACACAAGGAACTCTGCTCAATATTCTGTAATAACCTAAATGGGAAAAGAATATGAAAAACAATAGACACATGTATAACTAAATCACTTTGCTGTACCCTTGAAGCTAATACAACATTGTAAATCAACTATACATGGACATAAAAAAAAAAGTTATTTTAAAAAGAAAGGCCTGTGCAGAGGAGATTGGGGGTGGTGTCCAGGAGGGGGTGTTCAGGCTTCAGGCCAGCCCTATGAGGCCTTGTCGGAAACTCTATTTAGGATGAAGAAAGGTGAAGCCGTCGGAGCGCATGCAGGTGGCTTCTCAGCCTAGAGGACACACACCTCCTAAGACTCACACCCGCTGTGGTGGTGTCCCCCCTTTTTTTTTTTCATTTATTTTTATTAGTTGGAGGCTAATTACTTTACAATATTGTAGAGGGTTTTGTCATACATTGACATGAATCAGCCATGGAGTTACATGTATTCCCCATCCCTAACCCCCCTCCCACCTCCCTCTCTACCCAATCCCTCTGAGTCTTCCCAGTGCACCAGGCCCGAGCACTTGTCTCATGCAGCCAACCTGGGATGGTGATCTGTTTCACTATAGATAATATACATGTTTCGATGCTGTTCTCTCGAAACATCCCACCCTCACCTTCTCCCACAGAGTCCAAAAGTCTGTTCTGTACATATGTGTCTCTTTTTCTCTTTTGCATATAGGGTTATCATTACCATCTTTCTAAATTCCATATATATGTGTTAGTATGCTGTAATGTTCTTTATCTTTCTGGCTTACTTCACTCTGTATACTAGGCTCCAGTTTCATCCATCTCATTAGAACTGATTCAAATGAGTTCTTTTTAATGGCTGAGTAATATTCCATGGTGTATATGTACCACAGCTTCCTTATCCATTCGTCTGCTGATGGATATCTAGGTTGCTTCCATGTCTGGCTATTATAAACAGTGCTGCAATGAACATTGGGGTACACGTGTCTCTTTCAGATCTGGTTTCCTTGGTGTGTATGCCCAGGAGTGGGATTGCTGGGTCATATGGCAGTTCTATTTCCAGTTTTTTAAGAAATCTACACACTGTTCTCCATAGTGGCTGTACTAGTTTGCATTCCCACCAACAGTGTAAGAGGGTTCCCTTTTCTCCACACCCTCTCCAGCATTTATTGCTTGTAGACTTTTGGATAGCAGCCATCCTGACTGGCGTGTAATGGTACCTCATTGTGGTTTTGATTTGCATTTCTCTGATGATGAGTGATGTTGAGCATCTTTTCATGTGTTTTTTAGCCATCTGTATGTCTTCGTTGGAGAAATGTCTGTTTAGTTCTTTGGCCCATTTTTTGATTGGGTCATTTATTTTTCTGGAATTGAGCTGCAGGAGTTGCTTGTATATTTTTGAGATTAGTCCTTTGTCTGTTGCTTCGTTTGCTATTATTTCTTCCAATCTGAGGGCTGTCTTTTCACCTTGTTTATAGTTTCCTTTGTTGTGCAAAAGCTTTTAAGTTTAATTAGGTCCCATTTGTTTATTTTTGCTTTTATTTCCAATATTCTGGGAGGTGGCTCATAGAGGATCCAGCTGTGATTTATGTCAGAGAGGGTTTTGCCTATGTTCTCCTCTAGGAGTTTTATAGTTTCTGGTCTTACATTTAGATCTTTAATCCATTTTGAGTTTATTTTTGTGTATAGTGTTAGAAAGTGTTCCAGTTTCATTCTCTTACAAGTGGTTGACCAGTTTTCCCAGCACCATTTGTTAAAGAGGTTTTTTTTCCATTGTATATCCTTGCCTCCTTTGTTGAAGATAAGGTGTCCATAGGTTTGTGGATTTATCTCTGGGCTTTCTATTCTGTTCCATTGATCTATATTTCTGTCTTTGTGCCAGTACCATACTGTCTTGATGACTGTGGCTTTGTAGTAGAGCCTGAAGTCAGGCAGGTTGATTCCTCCAGTTCCATTCTTCTTTCTCAGGATTACTTTGGCTATTTGAGGTTTTTTGTATTTCCATACAAATTGAGAAATTATTTGTTCTAGTTCTGTGAACCATTGGTAGCTTAATAGGGATTGCATTGAATCTATAGATTGCTTTGGGTAGAATAGCCATTTTGACAATATTGATTCTTCCAATCCATGAACACGGTATGTTTCTCCATCTGTTTGTGTCCTCTTTGATTTCTTTCATCAGTGATTTATAGTTTTCTATGTATCGGTCTTTTGTTTCTTTAGGTAGATATACTCCTAAGTATTTTATTCTTTTTGTTGCAATGGTGAATGGTATTATTTCCTTAATTTCTCTTTCTGTTTTCTCATTGTTAGTGTATAGGAATGCAAGGGATTTCTGTGTGTTAATTTTATATCCTGCAACTTTACTATATTCGTTGATTAACTCTAGTAATTTTCTGGTAGAATCTTCAGGGTTTTCTATGTAGAGTATCATGTCATCTGCAAACAGCAGTCGTGTCCCTTTAAGCGTGGACTGGACTGGCTGACTTGCTTCTGATGAATGGAACTCAGCAGCCATGATGGATCTCAGCTCCAAGACTGGAGCACAAACACCGTGGCTTCCACCCCAGATGTCCTCTCTTGTTCTCTCACCTCGACAGCTGCCTGTGAATGGCCTGAGCAGTGAGGAACCAAGTCCACATACAGGAGACTGCAGCAGGGGCCCCAGCCCCAGCCCAGCCTCTGGGGAACTGCAGCCCCGAGAGTTCAGTGACAACCTCCAAAGAGGCCATGATGGGGGCCCACAGCTAAGCCATCTGCAGACTTCTGATCCATAGAAAGTCGGGGGAGGGGATAAATGTTTGTTATTTGAAGTCACCAAATTTTGGGGTAACTTGATCAAGCAACAGGTAACTAATTCAGAGTGTACATTTTAGGGGGCTGGCATATTTAATTTACTCAATAAAGAATAAGGAGGTACTATATGCCAGGTGTGTTGCAGGTGCTGACATAATGTACTTTATAAAGTTTTATGTAGTTATTTTTTGGGTGAGTAACACTGTAACATGATTTGAAACTATAGTTTCAAAATAGATGATAGAGGGGAAAACCCCTCCTCACAGACACCCAGTCCCTCACCAAGGGCTCAGAGTTCAGTTTGGGGGAGGGGTACAATTCCAGAGAGACCGTGAGGCTCATACAAACAATTGCACACAGATCCACAACACTGTTCTGCAACTTGTTTTTGTCACATAATCATTTTCCTTAAAAAAAAAAAAATCCGTGTCTGTACAGAGAATTTCATTTTTCACAGTTATATACAATGTCATGATATGAATATACCCTTATCCATCTTAACGTGTCCCCTATTGATAATCCTTTAAGTTATTTCCAATCCTTTGCTCTTGCTGACAATGGTGCAACAAATAATTATCATCTAACACTTGGCCTTCTAGGGTACATCTCTAAAAATTGGTCCCAAAGTATGCAAATGTACAAATTTGATAAACATTGTCAAATCACCATGACAAAGGTTACACAGACACTTCCTAATGTCATGGCCATCAGCAACAGAGAAGAGCGCCTGCTTCCCCCGGAGCTGTCACCAAGTGTTATCAAATGTGTTTGTCTTCCAGGACGATCTGAGGCCTGGAGTTACCCTTCCCGTTTGATGCGTGTGCTTGTAACTCTTGACATGTTCAATGGCTGTTGACACAATTACAGGTGTTGTTGTAAAAGAAATAATAATAATAAAAGTAAATGAACAAACACACCCTGTGGCTGCCAAGTCTTGAACGGACTGTGGAGATCAGAGACCAGAGCCCAGGCGAGAAGCACAGACGAAGGGGATGGAGCATAGCAGATGGTCCAGAGCTGTTTAAAAGACTCAATAAAGGGGCCTTTGTAAGGGCTGGAGCGTGCGCGCGCACTGGGGAGCCCGTGAGGAGAGGGGGTGGGGTAGGAGGAGGTGCCAGGATTTGTCTTCAGGCTCCGGCTGGGCTCTGGCAACTTGAGGAAGATGCTGCCCTTGGCCAGGACAGCGATGCTGAAGGAGGACCAGGTTAGTGCGGGAAGCACAAACGTGGTTTTCATCGTTGCTAGCAGACCATTAACTTCTTGCGCTTACTCTAAGCTGTGCCTTCCTCCCACACCTTACTGGAGTTTTACATTATAACATGTATCTTGGATTTCACATATTTAAAATACCATGGTAGTAAATTGCATATGCAGAGAGCTCTGTCAGCCCATCTATGAAATGTTACTTCTTTCTCTGCGCGTCTGCAGGGTGTTGAGGGATCACTTGGGCCAGCAGGCAGCTGGGGTCCCGTGTTCAGGCCTGAACACGTGTTCCCTGGATGAACATGTGTTCCCTGGACGCAGCTGCAGGGAATGAGGGTGGACAGGGCTCCCGGAGACTGGCTTTCTTCTGTCTGTCAAGCCAGTGGAGGGGGGCCATCGGAAGTACTTCAACTTTCTGCTTCTGGGGGGGCCCTCTGATCCAGGGTGTGTCGTTTAAATGTTCTCCAGGTGGCTGTGGTCCCAATCGGTTCTCAGAGGCTCGCATAAAGAGGAAGGAACAACTATGATTCTTTACCACTAGCACCACCTGGGAAGCCCTAAGAAAGAGAAAAACGAGTGACTTTTGAAGTTATCTATGTGCATAGCTTCTTGGAGAGAAAAAGACCAGCACTTTAAGATAGCAACGAAAAAGACAATCTGCCTTCACCCGGTGACCCCACCCTTCTCCCAGCGCTACAGTGGTAACTCCTAGCTGAATTGTCCCCAAGCCAGCAAAGTCAGAGGAGAAGTCAGCTGCATTCCTGGCTTTGATACTTCAAAAGCAAGGTCTGGGGCAGGAGAGAAAGGGGAGCACAGCCCCTGCTCTCTGTCTGGGGCCATGACTCTCAAATTGTGGTATCCCACCAGCCTGACCTGGTTAAAAGTGGAAACTCTCTGGGCCTCACCCAGACCTGCAGAATTGGGGTTTCTAGAGACAGAGCCAAGAAACCTATATTTTAACATTCTACAGGTGATCCCTTTTTAAAAAACTTTTAATTTTATATTGTAATGTAGCCAATTAACAATGTTGTGCACAGCAAAGGGATTCAGCCATACGTAAACACATATCCATTGTCCCTCCCCCAAACTCCCCTACCATCCAGCCTGCAACATAACATTGAGCAGAATTCCCCATGCTGTACAGTAGGTCCTTGTTGGTTATCCATTTTAAACCTAGTAGTATGTACATGTCCATCCCAAACTCCCTCTCTTTCTTCCTTCCTTTCCCCTTGGTAACCACAGTTCCTTTTCTAAGTCTGTGAGTCACTTTCTGTTTTGTAAATAGTTAATTTGTATCTTTTCTGTGTATAAGGCTGTCATAGGATATTTCTCCTCTATTTTCCCTTCTCTGTCTGACTTACTTCACTCAATATGATGGTCTCAGTGTCCATCTGGGTCACCATCAGGTGATTCTGATACACACAGAAGCTTGAGACCTGCCAGCTGAGGGGGACCCCAGGCCTCGATGTGCAGCAGTGAAAGAAGGACAGGTGAGGGGCTTCCTAGGCTGAAGGGCTTCACAAAGCTCCCTGGGGGAGCAGGTCTAGGGGAGGCAGACAGTGCACCCAGCTAGGGGACCTGGGTCTAGGACAAACTGAGCTGAGGCCTGGAGGTTACCCAGTGATCCAGGAATCACAGGCCCCTCAGCAGACGCCAGCTAGGGGGAGTGGAGAGCTGAGCAAGTATGTACGAGAGGAGACCCTCAAGGTGCTGCCATCCTGAGACAGAGCTCCCCTGCCCCCATGAGGCCTGGCAGGCTCCAACACTGCCATCCCCACTGCTGTGTGCAGCCAGGTTTGACTCCTGGCCTCTGAAGTCTTACTACTTAGTGGGTTCAACAGACAAAAAAAGTCTGTTGTCAAGACAGCAGCTTGACCACATTCTGGAATCTCAGCTCTACTAGTTACAGGCCCACCAGCTGGATGTCTACCAGCACTGCAGCTGTAAAGGGTTCCCTGACACTTACTTTTCGAGCTCTCTCCCTTGAATAAAATCTTATGGAGTCTGACTGATCACATGCATGTGCCCTGGATGCAAAGGAGGCTGAAAGATGTGTCTTTCTGATTTCTCCCTCGGGAAGACATGAGCTCAAAAGAGAAGAATTTCTTCCAAACTTAAGAACTTAGGAAGGGTGTTAAGAAGATGCTGAATAGCACCCCCAAAGCATGAAAATGTTCTGCTATGGGCAGAAAAAGAAAATTTAAAAAGAAAAAGGCAAACTGGAATAGAAAACACAAAATAAGATATCAGAAGAAAGTTCAAACATAACTGTAATCACAGTAAATATGAATGTGTTAATCCACCTATTACTACATATCACAAAAAAGATATGCAAATATTAAAAAATATGAAAGAATATATTTCCAATTATATTAAAAATAAACAAGATATACACTAGGACTACAATAACATATTTATTCTTGAATAGCTACAATGTAAAAGATGTTTGCCAGGATGTGAATCCAAAGGAGCTCTCATACACTGTTGGTAGGAGTATAAACTTGTGCAGCAATTTTTGGAAACCTTTTGTCAATACCCACTAAAGCTGAAGATTCACCATGTAACTCAAAACCAAAAACATGTGTAAGAATGTTCATGGTAGTACTATTTATAATAGATATTATCTGACGGAAACCTAAATGTCCATCAGAAGTAGCACAGATAAATAAATTTTAACATATTTATACAATAAAATATGATAAATAAAACTAAACAAGTTATAGCTTAACCTGATAACATCCACAATTTATGGGAGATGAGCCCGACAAACATATTTATGACAAAATGAAGCCAGATCCAAAATGGTACAACCTGTATAATTTCATTCACATAAAGTTCAATTTATGGAAATCTAACTATAAAGAAAGCTGAGCACCAAGGAATTGATGCTTTTGAACTGTGGTGTTGGAGAAGTCTCTTGAAAGTCTCTTGGATTACAAAGAGATCCAACCAGTCCATCCTGAAGGAAATCAGTCCTGAATATTCTTTAGAAGGACTGATGCTGAAACTGAAGCTCCAAAACTTTGGCCACCTGATGTGAAGAACTGACTCATTGGGAAAGACCCTGATGCTGGGAAAGATTGAAGGTGGAAGGAGAGGAGGACGACAGAGGATGAGATGGTTGGATGGCATCAACGACTTGATAGCCATGCGTTTGAGCAGGCTCCAGGAGTTGGTGATGGACAGGGAAGCTTGGCATGCTGCAGTCCATGGGGGTCACAAAGAGTTGGACACTAATGAGCGACTGAACTGAACTGAACTGAGTGTTTGAAAACTGTAAGACAAAAAGCTGTCATTCATAGCCTGAGACTAACTTTGGATCAGGACTGGGTTTTGTGGTCTCATTTTCAATCCACTTTAACCATACCTTCTGCTACAAAAATCTTAGACAAATTCAATTACTGGCCAGACTCAATCACTGGGTCACTGATGCCAGTCTCTGATGGTCTTTGAAACAATGCAAGAGGAAGAAATCAAGATCCTATCACCTTTGTTCCTCATCATGGACTCCTGACTGCTACCTCTTGCCTTATATAAACCCCTAGACTCCTCATGGAGGATGGGCACAGTTCTTGGGGCATGAGCCTTCCGTGTTCCCCTCTGCTGACGGAGAATAAAAGCCACCTTTCTATTTCCTCCTATTTTTTATTTGGCTTTGGTGGGCAAAGGGCAACATTTTGACCAGTAGCAATTTGGGGGACTCATCCGGGATCTGATCATGGGCAGGTGGCCCTGCAGGGACCCTTGGCTTGATGGAAAGTTCAGGGTCTCTCCCCATGCCAGCCTCCTTTGGGAGAGCAGAAGGTTGAGGGATTTCTCTAAGGCTGTGCCACATCAGACCTGACTGCTGACTCAACTTCGGAACTCTGGGCTGTGACAGAGAATGGGAGAGAGGTTACTCTTTGCAGCTGCCAAAAATCTCTTTTACCTGGAGGACACCTTTTTCTTCTCTTGTCCTCACCAGCCTGAACTTCCACTCTGCTGCTGCTGCTGCTGCTCAGTCACTTCAGTCGTATCCGACTCTGTCCGACCCCATAGATGGCAGCCCACCAGGCTCCCCCGTCCCTGGGATTCTCCATGCAAGAACACTGGAGTGGGTTGCCATTTCCTTCTCCAATGCATGAAAGTGAAAAGTGAAAGTGAAGTCGCTCAGTCATGTCCAACTCTTTGCGACCCCATGGACTGCAGCCTACCAGGCTCCTCCGTCCATGGGATTTTTCCAGGCAAGAGGACTGGAGTGGGTTGCCATTGCCTTCTCTGCTTCCACTCTGAGAAACACTAAATACTGAAGGATCGGGAAGACAGCGTCTGGTACATCGTCTTGACATCTGCTAGCATTTTGGTAAGTCCCCTGAGACGTACCTCAAGGCCTCGAGTTTCCCGTTTGGGGAACTGATGCAGTTCCAGTTTGGGGGTTTCTCCCCTTTGGAAGGGGTGGGCCCAGTTTGTAAGGTGCCGCTTTGGAGAAGCGTCCCACGCTTGATAGTACTTGGAAGTCACTTCTGAGGTGGTCTTGCCATTTGGTTTTTGGATTTCTGTGCATCTGTTTGCCATTTGCTTTGTTTTTGATGACTTCCCGCTAGCGTGGTTTGATTTGGTTTGTTTACTTTGGTTTGTGCACACAGACTTCTGACCTAAGTGCTCAAGCTAGAATGGAAAGTACTTCCTCTAAAGTTCCATCTCAGAGTCCCCTAGGGAAAATCCTAGGTGATTGGTCAACCTATAATTATGACCAGTATCTACTTAATTGGATGTTAAAGATGATCATATGTAAAATATATATATATATATGTATATGTATTTTTTTTTTCCAGAGAGCTCTATTTTGTTGCCTATGTAATTAATGACTGATGTGATGGACATGAGTTTGAGTAGGCTCTGGGAGTTGGTGATGGACAGGGAAGCCTGGCGTCCTGCAGTCCATAGGGTCGCAGAGTCAGACACGCTGAGCGACAGAACTGAACTGATGTAATTGATTATGGTGATGAGAGAAAAAAAAAGCTGGCTTGGTAACTTTAAACAAAGACCTCCAT